CCAAACTAACTCTACCGACTGATCTAATCCAATTAAACACATTCCATTCAAAATCAAGATTAGAACTATTTATTTGTTGCTAAATACGCAACATCACTTAGATAAGTCAATTATAAGTGCAAAATCTCTATTTGGAAACAAATCATTTAAGGAAAATTCCAACAAATTGTAAGTAAATTTTACAGCTAACTGAGCCACGATAGTTAGCAGTGGCGAGGGTGAGTAAACAGATCGTCTGCAACACACATCTATCAAACAAACACAGCAGACGACACTCAAAGCACATTGTCAATCGCTAAAACAAAGTTTATTTTTTAACTCCATCATTGATTTAGAGGATTCGGGAACAGTATTTTGTTAGGATATTTTTTTCTGTGTGAAAACATGTAAAAATGCAGGTCCGTAACCTGCACGAGTAAATGAATAGAATATCTAAGCAGGGATAACGTATTCCGAATATGTTACCGAACAACAGATACACTTTGTTCAAGAGTCATTGAAAAAAAAAAATTATTGTCAAGAAGTCAATATGAAATTGTCTATTTTTGAAACTTGCTTATTTACCAAAAGTGTAAAGGCACACGAAAATAGTATCCAGTATCATCATGTCGTCACTGTAACCACAATAAAAGTTGGTCTGGACAAAAGTGAGTCTATTGTGTATATTGGTGGGGGAGGGGAAAGGAAATGGGCTTTAGCACCCACTCAACACAAACTAAGCCATTTCGCGATTAATGTATGGTTCAATTTTATTTCAATCATTTGCTTGAGCATAGGGGCCTTAGCAGTTGGAGAAAACCAACGAGTTTGGATAGGCAATCATATGCCTTGTCACCTACAAGCAGGGAATCGAAACCACACTACATGACTCAATGACAGACCTTATGCATTGCCTTTTTGGGGAAGGGGTAGCTGGTCGCATAGTTGGCCTCAAGTGGGTCGTGGGTTGGGTAAACCCCCAGCCTATACTGTCATGGGTCACACCAGTATTTATGTACATCTTATGATTGGCTGATAGAAATGACCTTCACTTTACATTTAAAAAAATACAGAGTGCATTATTAATTGAGAAAACATTTAACACAAGACATTGTAAGAAGAGTATAGTAAACAATGAGGTCACCCTATATACACAGTCAACAGTATTTTTGTATAGACCAATATTCGTTAGTGCAAATGCAGCAACTGAGACTAACATGTATGTTCCCAATAGGATATTTTTTTATACTTGAATAGTTGAGTACAAACAGTTATATTGGTCCTTCCCACAGATAGTAGACACTATATACACAGTATACAACATCTACAATAAACTTACATCAGATTACTAAACATTGACTTATAGAAATATCCTACTCATCACACATGTCAGTTCTTAATGCTTTTCGTTCTATCTTTCATTTTCAAAATATCTGATGGTGAAAGTGGAAAATTCTTGATTTTCATTTTACAACTTTATTTTTTTTATCTTATTGTAGGGCTTTTCTATTAATTAATCACAACTTCAATAATCCTAATAATAAAACCTTTGGCATTGTGATTTGTATGTAATATGCCTACCATATGTTAATCCTCCATTCTATTTTGATTAAGGACCACACCCATTCAGAGGAATTAATTTCAGGGGAGAATTTGTTTTAAAAGTTTATTATTGTTCAGTGTAATTTAATTGTTCAATATTGTTCAGTATATTATTCTAATTGGTCATAATTGTTCTATAAAATATCAGCAACTCATTATGCACACAGCTCGTTTAGCAGAATAAAACTTAAAACTAAATCTGATTAAAACACAGAACCTTTCTTTCTTTTTTTTAATGTTAAAAATTTTATTTGTCTTTACAAAACTTCAGGTATAATTATAAACAAACAAACAAACAAAATATAGTTCAATCAGATTAATTTTTAAAACTCTTATGTTTGATGGCCAATTACAGACACATGCCCAACATGTCATATACCTCAATATCACCATAATGGATGGGTCACAAAAACGTAAATTTCATAAAAGTATTATTCATCTTAATTACTAATGACATTTGTAACCAGAGATGACAATGTTCTATAACAAAACATATCATCCATTAATTTCTAGCTACCAGCCATATAATTACAAATAAAATCTATAAATATAAGATAATAGGTGAAAGTAAGTAATCATATATGTATTTATAAGTGTAAATACTGGTATTTAGTGTTAGATTTCAATATCCTTTATAGTACCAAATGTAAACAAAGTAGGTAAAACTGATATACTTAGATATCAATCCTGGTATCATATATCTTATAAAACTGACATCATTAAATAGCTGGAATTTGTGTGCTGTTTAATATACAGTATTAAATATAAGTACTCTATATAGACATATAACAATAGGTCACAAATCTTAATATCATTTAGTATACAGACTCATTTCATTCACATTATAGAAGAATATTATATATATATATATATATATACACATCGGCCAGTATGTGATAAATCGTTTACACAATAGATCAATATATACTCTTAGCAACATATGTGACAAAACCATTATTTTAACCAAACGCAATCTTTTCATAAACAAAAATATCCAATTATATATACAGATTTATAAAATGCCAACTAATTTAAAAAAAATAGGTTGCCAGCCAACATAACATAGCCCACCCGATAACACTTCAATATATCCCAAGAAGATCACAATAAAAATCTTAAAAAATTATGAAACAGGGAGTTATTTCAAGGACAAAGAAAGGCTGGAAAAACTCTGAAAGTTGCTTAGAACTCTGCACTTAATATTTCACACTACATATTGGCCTGTACATTTTTAGAGGAGTCATCCAGTATCTCTCCCATAACCACTTAATGAAAAAAATCAACCATCCATTTAAACATAAAATCCCCTTATTTGCCTTTTCTTATTGATCTTCTGCTTGTGAGCATGTGTGAAATTCAATTTCAACAAAAATGTTTCCACAGACTTCCTGACGAAGCACCTCACGTTCATCCAATTTTTACCTCCTTTTTTTCCAATAAAACAGTCAACAAAGAAGGAGCCAGCTACTCCTAATAGCATCCTATACATGTGCATGAATTGTACTCAATGGCAAAAACAACCACACAATTTTCCAGAGAATGAATTAGTTTTTTTTTTCTTTATCAAAAATAAGAATCCACTGCAAACAAAGATGCATTTCTTGGTCACTTTGAAGACAAAATCAAATAAGCAACTTCTTTATCATCAAGTAATCTCTTTTATCTATCAGCAAGTAATCAAGTAATCCAGATCTCAAATAATTCAGCCATACAAAGTGTTAATTGTGTACTTTTAAATGCACTCACAACAATGGGATCTTACCAATTATACTAAACTGCAGTACAATGATGTAAAAAGATATTATAATCCTTTATGTTATCTAGGTGTAATAAGAGTTTTGAAAAGTTTGACAAATAAAATACTAAAATTCTTAAGGAATATATTTCAACATATTCAATAAGGAAAAGGGAATGTATGATGATGTGGGCCACCGAGTTTCTTCACCCTAATTTTGACCAGTTTTCTCCTATTAGCACCAGTTAGCACCTATTTAACCCATGGTCTAAACCTCTCTTGTTAAAAGCTGAAACATCAGTCTACCATGAATAGGGTAGGTAAGTAGTCTATAACATGAATAGGGTAGGTAAGTAGTCTATAACATGAACTAAAGTAGGCTTAATCACCAACAAAATGTACAGAAACGTCCAAAATTTCCCCTAAAAGAGTCATTATTTTAAGAGCTAAATCTGCCTATTGCAGGTCTTTTTTGGGGGGCTTAAATGTTATATAAATTATTAATTAGACATAATCAAATCTCTATGCCATCGGATGGCTCCGATTTTAAGTAGATTAGAATGGTTTGGCCATTTAATGATTAAATTTGAAAATGGAAGGACGAGACTAAGTTGAATTACCAGCACCGTGGTTATGATAATAAACAATCAATGCACACATCTTGTAATAAACTATACAGTATTTAGATGGAATCCACTGAATATCTTAGAGGGAAAATATTTTTTAAGAAATCTAAAGTTAGAACTTTATGGTTCTCATGCCCCACCCTTAGTTGGATAAATCTGCATAAGCAGCTCTAAAAAAAAACATACCGGGTACCGCCAAAATTATAACAAGAAAATGTAATCACAAAATTGCCAAATATTAACACAACAAGGTGAGATTAATGTAGATAGCTAAATAATAAATGTAACATAAAATGTGTCTATCTAAATATGGGCAAATATACAATAAATGTAACACAAGATGGTCAGCTTAATAATGACAATGGATGGATGGATGGATGGATGAATGGATGGATAATACATGTAGGTAGGTAGGTACATGTGATAGGTGGGTATGGAGAGTAAATACATTTAGCAAATGTTTAAGACACTTCTCCCCATCCCTTCTGAGATAATCAAAAACAAAAAAACACAATAGCCTGTACCCCTTTATGAAACAAATGCAGAGTAAACAAATAATTAATAATAATCAATAAAGAATAGGATTCTATTTATGTCCAACATTTCTTGATTCATGGACCCTGAGGCATTATTGATACAAATTGATGATAGATCTATGTTTAAGACAATGTTATTTTATTTTCAGTAAACATTAGTTGATAATAAACTTAAGAAAGTCAAGTCGTTGGAAATATACAACCATTTATCATTTTATCTTTGAAAAAAAAAAACATAGTCTGACAACACAAAATTGTTACTAGATCTTTTGAGAGATGATGGTATATTCATCATACAATCTTTTTTTTAAAAAAAACAATATGTCAAAAAAGGTAATTCGCAGTGCCTAGTTTGTGTTGTTGTACAAGATCGTCAACAACCACAAAGTAAAAATAAGCAACGTGTGACTTTCATTAAATTTTTTCTTAAGATGTAGCCTAAGTCGGGCCTATAACTCTTTAAAATAAAAGAAAATTGACATTATGTATAAAAGTTTTCTATAGATGAAATATGGTACTTACTCTTTCAGATAACGGCTCAATAAAAGTTGCAATTCCAGCTCTAACTCGGTTTTTAAATCCACGTACCGTACCCCTAGAGCTGACTATTTGTCGCTCTTCTAAGGTGCTGGGGCTTTTCACATCTCTACGACCAGCGAAGGTGGACTCTGCCCTTTTCTGAGAATGTCCGTTGGTCACTTTAGTGTGGAAATGTTCTTTAAATTCCCCGCGTAACGCCGGCTCCAGTGTAGGTTTTTCTTTAAATCCATTTTCATAAAACGGATCTTTACCGTTTATTTGAGACAAATTAAACGATTGCATTTCATTACACAAAACATTGATGTCACCGGGCATTGTGTAATTTTTATCACTAATATCACCTTGATTGTTAACCCCTCGGTGCATTTCCCGCACTGATCAATTGAGCTAATCCAGTTAAAATTCTGTCTTCTGTGAACGATTTTAACCACAGTCTTGTCACAAGTATCTGAGAACACCAAAACGAGCGAATTCTTTGCTCAACAAATAAGTCGCCTGAAACTCAGTGACGCTTCACCGACTTTTCGTGAACACATCAGCACATATTTAAACACGGTTGTGTTTTTTTTATTTCCCCGTATGCACGTATCCATTCACCTTCGGGCGTGGCAGTCATGTCACCCTTCGCCGTAATGTTATCGGTAAGTTGTCAGACTCAACTAGCAGAAGTCAGCAGTAGCCGAGTTTACTACCGTCACGTGACTCGACGTCATTTTTACCTGTCATTGATTGCTATATAACGTTAACTGAGCCAGGTCTAAGATACCTGCATATCACGTTCATTTTGTTAGAACAGGAAGAATATCGCTATGGCTTTGGAATATTATACATATTGTAATGACAAGACATTATTTCATTAGAGTGTACTTACATGACCCATGACAGAAAATAAACCAAAAGACCAATAAGTATTTTAAAATAAAGAAATAAAAAGAACGATTCGATTACTTATCTATAGTAAGGAAATTATACGAGGAAACAGTCTGTTTAAAGAATGGACTAACTTTTATTCAAAAGATCTCCGAATTATTATTATTTTATAATCTCAGATAGTCTACACGAAGGAAGTGTGTGAAATCAATAGAAACTGGTGTAAACTATAAAAATGTGTTGTTTTTTTTAGAAATCCCATTAAAATACGTCTCTGTTTTAGTAAATATTTGAGTGGTTTAGTTTGGTCGTCAAATTTTTGTTTTATATTAATCTGATATGTTGCTCCTATATTTGAACAAGAAGAAAAAAGCGAGCTTTATAAATTTTAAAGACCCCCCCCCCCCCAAGATCGAAATAAAAATTTAAACCTCTATCCGTTTGATAGAAATTATAACGGGTAGAGTACCTTTAGGTTATTCGTATTCTGTTTTTTTCTGGTTGAAACTTTGCCAGGGCAACGACGTTTCCATGTATTTCAGGATTCACACGTAGGGTTTTGATATGATTTTAAAGCGCTGCTTTTGTCGAAACCCCAACATAATATATGGACGTGCTTTCGCACAGCATTGATAATAACTTCCGACTTTGTTTTCCTATTAGCTGTCAGTTCCTGTGTGATTACATGATTCACTATTTCTATAAAGCGAAGATGTTTAAAAATACACTGTTACAATTTCTGACAGATTCTAATTAAAGGAAAACAAACGTGAATATATCTAAGAATTGAAGGTACAGTCTGAAGATGGACAATAAAGAAATACAAATATGTAGGCCTAAGCCCAGCTATATTACGACCTCGTTAAATAATATATTAAATTTAATGAGAGAATATGAATGTTTTAGTAGCAAAACACAACTTGAGGTGGATAGTATATACTATTAAATAGTTTTGCTGCCTCGGTGAAATTAATTGACATAATGGAAGACGATATAGAATTAATTTGTAAATTGCAAATTATTAAAATAAACATGTACATAATATATTATAGACCAACTCGTTCACGTGTATCTCAAAAGCTCAAATGTGTGCTGTTATAATGTATACAATTATCATCATGTGCAAGCGTAAGATAAAAAATACATTCGATTTTGTATGGTTTTAAACAATATATACTTAATCCTACTCTGGCATTTTATGTTGATTTTGTCAATATCTTAAAATCGTCACGTAGGTCTACTTATACTTTTATCTACAATAACCACACATTTTGTCATCAATAAATATAGCATATGATTTATCATGCCGTGTCCTTATTGTTTATTTTACCTCACTCAAATACAGACATATTACACATTTTATATACCTAGTTCTTATCAACTTATCTACATTAAATTGTGTAATATTATATGAATGAATTGTATCGCATCATGTATATAGTTAGTCTATACTGTAACGGTGTTTTGTTATTGCTTTAAAGAGACATGACTACCCTCATTCTACACACAGAGAACTATATATCTACTTCGAGTATAGACCTCTGCCCTGAATAACCGCCATATATCAAATTAGTATACTAGTGCACTCCCTTTCATATCTGTCATACACAAAATGACTAAATAAACCCTTTCGATTATTTTATTAAACATACATTATGTAAGAGCTAAGTCTGCCTATTACAGGTCATTCTTTATGCCTGAAATGTTATCCAAATTATTAATTAGACATTCATTTACTTATCCAGACCATAATCAACTCTCGATGCCATTGCTAGCCTGCGATATTTAGCGGATAGTTTATACATTTTTTGAAGGATAATTAAATGTAAAATTGGACAATCGAGACTTTGTATTGAGGCTAGCCTAAAATTCAAAAGCTAATATCTTGGTTCAGAGAGGAGCAATTGGTATGACATTTTCAGCATATTCTATATAGGTTATCTATTTTTAACTATTATAGTGAGAACTGTCAACTCTTTACCTAATCTTCCATAATGTCCCTTAAATAAGCGGAATAAATACTTCTCAATAGTCTCGAAGTATACTTAGTGTTTTCGACTAAAATCGTCGATCTATAGTAGTTAAAATGTCGCTCATCCAGCTTAGTGTATGTTTTCCAGCGGAGCTAATTGTAGACATTCAGCTTTAGTTTAGTATGTATCACTCTCACCAAGGAAATAATTGTAATTAATTTTGAATAATATCATAATTATTAACTTTTTTCTTATAAATAACGAATTGGCCTACAGGCCGAGAGCTGTATAGCGCCGTGGACGTGTTGTTTGCTATGATGTGTTGTTTATATTGCTTACAGTGTCTCTGTAGTTTGTATCGTGTCCACAGGTTTGTCTCTTTGTTTTTGTTTGTTATAGCGCTGTCCTCCTGTACTGACAGAAGGACATGTGACACGAGCTCTTATTAAACCCCTTGAAAGCCACTAAAAATTGTGTACAACTCGTAAACTGATTTGTCTCAATTTTTTTTATACAATCTAATTTTAACAAGCAGGATGTAAATCACGTCAACTACAGGTCAAGAAGTCGAAAGTGCTAATTCCTTTTTAAATGTCTGTTGCCCAGAGATGAAGTTTATGTCGGTGGCCTTCAATGCTGACATGGGGTGGTAATTAAGACGCATTTATAGTATTTTTCGGGGGAAAAATAGGTGTTCAACGTGTAGTCGACCCAAGATATTATGAGTTTGAACTAAAGCTAGTCTCTATCTCGTATCAACCCTGAAATGACTGGAAAACTAATTTCACCTTGAGAATTATTGTTTTGATTGTACAAAAGCGATAGGTATGGCATGAACTTGCGTGATTGTTGAGTCGATAAAGAAGTCTGTGAATAAAGTTTTGTCATTTTAGAATTTTGTCCACCCTGGAAATACAACTTCAAATTTTACAAGTGCCGATAAAGGGGTCTATATATTTCCTTGTTAGCGTTTCACTTGTCTCACAAGTCGCGGTTTCACTCGGAGCGCCCGATTTGTTGGTTTGAGTCTTTCTATTCGCTGGCAAGAGCGTTTTTGTCAGTATCGCCCAAAAGTATTGCAAAAAGTGACCGACAAGGAAATATATTTTACAGATATGCATATTCTACACACCATACCAAAACTTAAATGATTTCATTAAAAAAAATGGACAAAAGTATGGATAAGTGAAAATGGCCGGTTAGCTCGTTTGCAAGTGAAATTCCATTTGGTTTCCGGTTTGATATGGTCCGGGCTATTTTATAATCTGCATTATTAGTAGGCTACCGTATAATCTTTGGTTTGGTGCTGTCTATTTATATTTTACTTTTACTTCTTACTATTAGGTTTATACTGTGTTCTTTATACTGTGTTCTTTATACTGTGTTCTTATACTGTGTTCTTATACTGTGTTCTTTATCGTAATTTGTACCATTGTACTCATAAAATGGTTAAGCTAACTTATTTTGTGTCTGCGTGGTGTATACATATCTTCATTAGCCCAGGTGGAGCAAAATGTGGGCGTTAAATCCCATTTCATTTCACTTATTATGTGATTGTTCGGGATGCATAATAATAATCTTTCTACAATCTAAACGAATACATCAAAGATGAAAATATTAACAACATACCGTGTAACATTACACTGATAATCAAAACATGCTCTTTGTTTTCAGAGACCATTTTATAAAATTTCCCTTTTATTGACATGAGATTTGTGTATTTAATCTTTGAATTGAATATCCAAACAGACTGTTCTATTTGTAAAGACATCAGGAAATCTATAGCTCAGTTATCTGTATGTTTTGTCTAATATTGACTGAAAATATCACGCATTGTTCACAATTTTGAACAACAACTGTTAAAAATAGATCAATATTGGAGATTGCTAATTGGAATAACGTCTAATTAGCGAACTGTGGATGAAATACAATGGCACTTGCGGTCATTCATAGTATATAAAAAAATCGATATTGTATATTATATATCTAATAGATTCTTCCATTGTGTTTCTAATTCCGAAGTATTCCGGAGTAAGTAATAAGTAGTATACCACAGGTTCTAAACGTTAATCAATAATCAGAACATGAAAAATCAAATCAATTATCGGTGTACAAACAATTCTCTTTCAAATTAATCCATGTTATTATATTAGAGAAAAACAACAAGACAAACCATTGAACTTATAAGTAATACCAATTCGTATATATACAATATGCGTGGTCAGATGGAAATCGGAGACAATAAGCCTGAAACGCCTCTGTTCGGGTAAACTTTCCATCTCATTGCACGCGTAACTAGAGATAAAATAAATTATAAATTAGTCGCAACATGACCTCAGTAAAGTATCAACAGGACGTTAAACCCTGTTTCATTTTGAAAATGATTTTTTAAAGGGAGAATTCTATTCGAATTTAAAGCGAGCCGCTGTAGCTCAGTGAGACCCCGGGATTTCCCGGTGTGGTTCCCCTTTGGCAGGTGCAGGGACGGAGGACCTTGAAAAGAACAACGTCTAGTCCTTCGGGTGAGACGAATAACCGCTGTCTGGAAACAATTTATCCCATAGCACAGTGCATTAGTCAGATACATCAGAAAAGTAGGACGTTAAATCCCATATCATTTCGTATTTAAAGTTGCCCCTTGGAATCGTTCAGCGAATTATCGCATATTTCTGAATACCTGTTGAATTTGACATGCTTCATATACAGACTTTTATCTCATACTACACAACATTGTCACGTTTTACACTCCGTGAACAGAAATATGTCTGTAACCTTAACGGAAATTTTCGCACAGCCACGGAATTTGTAGTTTTTGTTCCGGGAAAATTGCAAGAAAGGCCGAAAT